CATCGGGCGGTGGCGGAGGAGGCAGCTACATGGCATACTCTCCCTCACCTTCCGCCCCTCACTCACCCCACATCTCCGCCCTCCGCTCCGCTTCCGCCGCTCTCCTTGACCAAGACAAGTAAGTACTTCCATTCCCCAATATTTGCTTAACAATCAAATATCATCCGATCTTGAGGTTTATGCTTGTTTTTTCTTCGGATCATGGCGGATTATCTGTTTTCCTTTTTTTCATTGTAGTAATTGATTGCTGATCCTTCTTTTGGTTGGAAAATCCATGCTTAATATTACAGTGTTATTGTCTACTCCACCAATTTGTTTTCTTGACTACACCTATGTTGATTTTTGTCTGCTTTTCAAGATCTAGAACCAGATCGATTGTTTGTCTTAGTTGATGTATGCTTCTGGTGTAAGTTTTTTATGTGATTAAAAGTGAAACTCAGGGATCTGTTCTCTATTCAACTGATGAAATTTCAAATCTTGAATTGGAAATTTTTTAGCTTTTATGATGTCAAAAGTGGTGATCTGGAGGTTGTTTTAGTTGTAGAAATGAAGCTGGATAACATGGGATCTTATATAAAAAATAATCTAATGCTACTATTTATGAGTTCGTTCTGTGAATCTTCGTTGTGGATGCCATTTAGCTTAACAATGCTATTGAGAGTTGTTTGAAGCTTAATAAAGTCAGTAAAAATTTAGGATTTGTCATTCATTTCAGATACTTTGAATAGAATAGAACTAGATGGATTGTGATTTGCACCATTGACTAACACTGACATTAACACAGATGAGTTGTGTGGTTATTTGGAGCTTAAAGGAAAATTAAAATTCTGTAGCTTTCGTTAAAGTCAGCTGGTTTGGGTATTTTATGTTGATGTTTTGTAAGTTGGTCAGTCTTATCTCTGATTTGCTGACATTTTTCAATTCCTCTTTTATCTTTTGTTGACAGATATCTGACAGAGTTACTGACAGAGCATAACAAGCTTAACCCTTTTATGCCTGTGCTCCCACATACCTATCGATTGTTGAATCAGGGTGAGTTTCAAATTAGCAATCCTTTCTGATGGTATTAGAATGGATAGCAGTTCCCTTTTATGTGTATTTCATTTGATTGAGATGAGAAAAGCCATGAAGTTATTCATTGTTTTTATCGATGCCGTACTTTATGTAAGAAATTCTCCTTTATTGCATCCACTGGACCCTCCATTTATTACATGATAAGAATTGTGAATAGTGAAGCATATATAGGCAGTAATGGTCAGGGGTGCGAATGCAGTAACAAAGATTTTAAGATAAAAGGGTGCATATAAGGGTAAATAGCTCATTGGTTGTGAAGGGGGTTATTTGTATGGAAAGGGAATGAAGGTGATGGAAGCCAGCACTGCTCAGGGTATTTAATCTTCATTTCATCATCTAGCTGGGCAAAAATGGGATTTTCTAATAATGGTAACATGTCAAGGATAGGTTTTCTAAATAAGGGTGAAAATCTATTTAACTAGTAGAAACAACCTGCATGCATACTGGATATTTAGTTGCCACATTCTCTTAATGTGGTAGACTTCCCCGCCTGTTTCTTTTGGGCTCCAGATTTGAGAGATTTAGAAGCCAATTTCTAGCCAAAAGGAGCAGTGAATTGTTTTTCTCATTGTGACCTTCAAACTATAATTTCTCAAATCTTAAAGCACTAACTGGGTGTGGTGCATGTATACCAAGATCTTATGTTTCCCTAATGGTTTAAATTCTTTATTGTTCATGCAAACAAACCTGTCAGTATTTCCTTATAGGTTATCTAACAACTCTGTGTGTTAGTCCATAGATCTAACAACTAAACTACATATTTCTTTTAGCTTCATTCCAGATAATTTTTTTCTGGGAAGTTAGCTTTATTTCTTGAAGGGCGAATTGATATTGAACTAACTCAATTAACTTTCCCTGTAGTCTCTCCACTTTGTAGTGACTGCTAACAAATGCTAACTGGTACATCTTATTCTTGAAAATTGACATTTTTGAAGCAGAAATTTTGCGTGTAACTACACTGTTGGGGAATGCATCAGTTTTAAGTCAAAGTGGGCTTGAACAAGCTAGCCCCCTGGCTTCTACAGGAATATTTTCAAATGGAGGCTTGGATGTGAATGGATGGGCATCACGCTTTCAATCAGAAGTACGATACTAACCATTAACATAACTCTTTGCCATCTAATTTACTGTTCTTGAGAGGTATTTCTGACTTAATATTCGTATTTCATTGCTAACTTTAACTTTATTTGAGTTATTGTAGTTTAAATACTCACTTCTCTTATGACAGGTGGTCTGAGGCTATCAAAAAGTCCTGAAAACTAGTATTATTTAGGAACTCTGTCAGAAATTTCACCTCTAATTTTGTGGTTTTTCCGTTCTCACCTCCTTTGTCCATTATCAAGACACAACAGATGCAGTAGAAATGTAGATGAGAAATTCATCAAATTCTTAACATGAAAGTACAATTTGTTTTAGGATGGTACTGGAAATTCAGAGCAAGGATTGGGAGACAGTGCATGTTTTGGGTTTCTTTTAGAAGAGGGTACTTTTATGTAGTGCTGACTTGACATTTAGCAAAATATTCATTCTTAGGATTCCAATTATCTGCTTTGCATTTCATGGAAATATTTGTCTGTTTTGCTTGCAGAAGCAGCGGCTAAGATAGTTTTCATCTAATTTGACTAATTCAATGATTTTTCTTTTTCTGGTAGTTTCCAATATGATTAGGCTTGCTTATGCTTTTGGTTTGGGATTGGGGTGTTCTTTGGATATTTTTATGTTGGCACTTGTTAGGTTTTCCATTTTTGCATCTAGGTTCAATTACATTTATTTTCATTTTCGCTTCTTACTCTAAAAAATATCTTCTGATCTGCTTCCTGGAACTTGTCATGAAATTTTTGGAGATCTCTCGAGTTTGTTGAAGGAATAAGTCATTGTTGTATCTTTTGCATGCCATACAAGGAAATGGAAACATGCATTAATGAGATAGTATGACTTTTAACAAAATCTGGAATGCTAATTGCAGGTTTCAGGCTTAATACAGCCCTCTTCTACTCAGAATTGGTTGAGTTCTCAAGGTAGCTCTTCTGGTCTCATTGTTAAGAGAACGATCAGAGTGGATATTCCTGTTGACAAATATCCTAATGTATGAGTATGAGCAAATTATTTTTGCCACTTTTGATTTTGTATTTTCTTTTCCAGCTTCTGACATTAATTTAATATTGCAGTACAACTTTGTTGGGCGCCTTCTTGGTCCTAGAGGTCACTCTCTTAAGCGTGTGGAAGCAAATACAGAGTGTCGTGTTCTGATAAGAGGGCGTGGCAGCATCAAGGACCCGGCAAGGGTAACAATCAATTTCTCTTCGTCTCCAAATATATACTACTTTTGATTATTGCTGATGACTTGTTGAACAGCATCATTTGGTGAATCAAAATCATTGGCACATGATGCATTATTTATTTATGGTTCCTGCATTAACCACATACTCTACTAATTCTTTTCTACCATGGATTCTACTTCCTCCATCCCATTTAACATGGCAGGCTCTCTCTTTTGGAACATTTCAAAATATATGGTACTCTTGCACCTTGCTTCCCATGTTTACGATTTAGAATAGATTTTGAAATCATTCCAACTTAGAGGTGCATGTTCCATGAAAGCATGTTTAAAAAAGCCTTGATAATTTAGCAATAATATGGACAGAAATGGAAATGAGAATTACCAAAACTATTCCCATAATTAGCTACGACATATAAATTGGCAGAGGGATGACTTGATAGGTTTTATTTCTTGTTGGTGTGTTATATTAGTTATGTTGAATTAATCCTGAACATCTGGCTTAACTTGGATTGTAAATATTGCATTGTGAATTGTGATGTAATGTTGTATTATTCATTTAATGAAGGAAGAAATGATGAGAGGAAAGCCTGGGTATGAACACCTCAATGAGCCTCTCCATATCCTGGTTGAGGCAGAATTACCGGTTGAAATAGTTGATGCTCACCTAATGCAAGCACGGGAGATACTAGAAGACTTGCTCAGGCCCATGGATGAATCCCAGGATTTTTATAAGAAGCAGCAGCTGCGAGAGCTGGCGATGCTCAATGGTACACTCCGAGAGGAGGGTTCTCCCATGTCTGGGTCTGTGTCCCCCTTCCACAACACCAGCCTTGCTATCAAGAGAGCCAAGACAAGGGGGTAATACTAATGGCATGTGTCTTAGTTTCTGCTATAAGCAGTGGTTCCCACGGTGCAGGTGTTGCTGTGTCTGCGAATGCCTCCAACTGCCATCGGGGCACTGGCACTGCTGTGTGCTAGTTGTAAGGTGTTTTTATATGAGAGTGTGTCTAGCTTGTGTTTGGAAGAGGTCATGTGATAGTGTCATGGTAAGGAATCTGTCCAGAGTGTTGGGGGTTTTGCTTTTTGTTTGCTGGTGTTAAATCCCAGAATGTTAGCTTGTAAGCGACAGTTTTGATAAGAGGAGATGTGAAGAAGGGTAAGGATATTGTTTGTATTTTGTATAGAAAAGTTGAGGCAGACAATTATTTACCCTACTGTTATGTCATTGGTATTGGAGTTTATGTAGTTAGATGAAATTCTGTAAGTGCTGTTTGTTTTGGTACAATTTATCAATTGTGGTTTAGAAGGAAGTGTTATATATGCATGCAGTGAGCTATTCCCTTGCCAATTTTTCAAATTCAGGAAATGAGATGGGTTTCTTTAATTTTTATTATTTATTATTATTATTATTTTTTTATCAAAATGAGATTTGTGAGGTAAGTGAATCTGTTATACCTGGTTTTCTAGGTGTTGAGGTGATGGACCAACTTACAGCATTTCTTGAAGCGAAGGGAAGGTTTATAATTGAAATCTGTGATTGTGAAGGAAGATTATTATTATTATTATTATTATTATTGTCTTTTTTTTCCCCTTTTGGCATCTATTGGTTGATTAAAAATTCCTGAAGAAATGAAATAAAAAAATGTTAGATGTGACCAAATGGAATCTTTCCAGATGGTTGATTGATGACATGTCTGCATCGCAACTTGCAAGGGTCATGGAAAGAAGCCACGATGTGTCACACTCAAAATCAGAAGTCAATGTGGGGCGTAGGAAATGAAGTGTGTAGAAAGTTTCAGAAAAACCGATCTTGAACTTGATTACATTCAATTCATCAAAATTAAATTAATTATTATAAAACTACAGGAAGACTTTATACATAATTTTGTAATTAAAATGTTAATAAAGTAATCACAGTCGCCCTAGCCTTCAAGACAGGGCAGCTTTGTTGCCTTCTCTCATGACAATAAGAAAGAAAATAGGCAACTAAAATGATAGGTGAGTGGAAAGTTGGCACTAAGTGGCTTAGGGGCCACCCCATTGTGGGAAAGTGTTAGGACATTTAAGACCTGGATTCTAATCCAAGCTCTACTCCCCTTATCTTCAATTTCCCAAAGGTCAAAAAAAAAAAGGGGGAAAATGATAGGTGAGTGAAACAATGAATAAAGTCATAACATTACATTTTGTATTTTAAAAAAATATTATATAATTTCAAATATATTAGATTACACAATTATAACTATTAAATGAGAATAATTTCTTAATATTAAAAACTCTATTTTCATTTAATAATTTTTATTTTATAATTTGATATAATTTAAATTATAAAACAAAATATTTTTATATTTTTATTTATATGATATAATATTATTAAAATGTATTCTAAATTATAAAATAAGACATTTTTTTATTTTTATCTATATGATATGATATTATTAAAATGCATTGGTGGAATATGATATTTATTAAAATGCATTGAGGTAAGTAGTAGGATGGATATGATAATCCTATGATTCTATAAAGAAGGGGGAAAATCATCTAAAAAATTCAAACATCAACTTTGGAAGTATTCTCACTTAAAGGGAAACTAATGAAATGAAACCGGTTGATCGAAATGTGCAGAACAATATTTTGAAACTATTTACAATGCACATTTATCATCGATCAATTAGTTCGAGTGAAAAAAATTCGATTCTTCTTAAATAAGATTTAGAGTTTGAATTTTATAAATGGAGAAATAAGTACTGCAACAAGTTCCTTTAAAATGGGATTCGACGCAACTCGATTTCAAATTAATTGAAACTCAATACAATTATCGAATACAGAGAGATTAATACGAAAAACAAAAAAAACAGTGCACATTTTAAAGGCAGCAATTAAAACAATAATTTGTTTATCACTAACAAGTTCATTACTATAATACTATATTATATATTGAAAAATGGAGAAGGAGGGGTCTTCTTGTGATGAGCGCAGGTAGACCTGTTGACTCAGACCTTCTCTCCCCCACGATCAAGATCGTCGTGGTCGTCGTCTTCCTCGTCTTCAACATCACCAATTCCAACCCAACGCGTGAAAGCAAATAAAAATTCCTTGAAATTCACCGTTCCATTGTTATCCCAGTCCATCTCTTCTGCAAGAAACAAACAATATTTATTTATTTTATGGGTATATAATAACACAATTAGCATTCAAAGACAATTAATTAATACACTTTTGGTTTAATGTCTTTTACAACATATTTATTAAAAAATTAATATTTTTAAATTTAAATTAAAGATAAAAAGTTTTTTAACAAAAAAATTTTAATAATTAAATCAATTGATGTTATAGTAAGTATATTGAACTAAAAATATATTAATAATTCTTCTTAAAATTTTTTAAAATAAACTATAATTTTTGAAGAATAAGGTTAAAAATTATTTAATCTTGACTGAGTAGGTGACAAACAGTATCGCTTCCACCCAACTAATAAGCCAGGTTCAATTTTTTTTAATTAATACAGCTGATAAGAGGGATAAGCACTAATTCTTATACGAGAACAATATTTATCCGTTTCACCTCCTAAATATACGTGTATATATATATATTGGTAGGGTGTGGATAAATTTATTTACCCCAAGTTTAAACTTTAGAATATATCTCACTGAATTTCGTTAATTTCTAGTCCTGTAATTAGACAATTCGTAAATATTTCTCAAGCAATTAACTTAATTAAGCAAACACAAACTGACATACACCCACAGAAGATGAAGATAGTGATAATGTAATACATATATCCAACTGCAATATATTTGGATTTTAATCAAACTACGCACAGATAAGACTTAATAATTTAGTTTTTGCAGCAGGGAAGAAATTTCCATAGAGAAGAGATCTATATAGTGAGAAAGAGAGAGAGGGAGAGAGAGAGAGAGCTGACCAAATCTTTTGATGGCTATTCGTCCGGAAGAACGCTCCCCTGATTCATTTATGGCTTGAACCATTTCAGCCTTGCTGACATACCCATCATTGTTCTTGTCCAAGAACACAAATGTATCCACCAGTGTTTCAAAAGTGCTTTCCAAACTTGGCATCCCCATCCTTGATTTCTAGCAATATATGTACAAACAAACCAGCTCATCAGTTTCAGTCATTCTTATTAATAAACGTCCTCGCAACTACTAGTACTAGCCAGCCAGTATCAAGTATATATCAAGTTTGTGCTATTAAGGAATAATTAAGGAGGATAGATATATACAGGGGGCTGAGGAGCAGCAGGATCGTCCTTGAGGAGATAGACAAGGCAGAGAAGTACAATGAACTCATTGAACTTTATCCCCATATCCTCATTAATGTCGCATGCCTGAAAGAGATCATTAATTTCCTCTTCTGTGGAAGAAATTTCAAGCTTGTGGAAACATTGTTTAAGCTCTTGCTGATCAATTGCACCATTTGAGTCCTCATCTGCAATTAATTCACAATTATTTACAATTTACATCAATTCATTGAATTAATACATTTGAGCGGAGTAAGAAAAAATATTGAATATATATATATAAAGTGAGTATCAATCTGTATAGTAAAAAATTAAGTAGAAATGATTGATAATATTATATCATTTTAATAAAGTCATATTGAAAAAAAATTAAATCATCTTAATTATTGTTAAAATAAGAATAAAGAAGTTTTAGTCATTTTTTTTTTTATAATACTTTATTAAAATGACGTAATTTTAAAATATTTTTTATCTAATTTTTTACAAGTCTAATTAATAGACATTAATCTCTGTCTATATATATATACACCAACATGATATGACATGAATTGTGGAAAATTAAAGAAGAAAAATGATGGTGTTTAATTGATTGATTTAGTTACTTACCGAATTGCTGGAAAATGGCTTTGCACTTTCTGAAACTTTGATCAATCTTGGGGAATTTTAAAATGATGGTGTTAAAAGATTTGACAGCGGTTCCTAGAGTTTCTCGGCGCTGCATGGCTTCTTTAATTTTGGCATCAAGCTTAGTTTCTGGAGCCCAAACATGAGTTGGCGATTCAGGTCTTCCCACAGCAGCCCCCATATATATATATATGTTTGTATATCCAATTCCACAAAAATCTCTAAATATACACATATAACGTAATTTAACATGAGTTAATCCGTTAAAAAGAAGATATATACCTACTGTACGTATGTGTTCATACACATATATATATATATGGTAGAAGAAAGAAATTAATAATCATTCAAATTCAGATCAAATAAAGTCAAGAAATATTAAATTTGAATCAAATGAGTGACAAATAGTATCGTTTTCATCCACCTATACGCTAGACACACAAAATCCGATGCTAATTAGAAAGAAGAATCAAAGTCGATATATATTTATATGGCCTTACCAGAAAAGACGACAGATCTGATGGACAGAGAGTATTCTGCTTTTGCTATTAAAAATGAGGAAGATGATGATACCAATACCAAATACTAATAAACATGTATGTTGTATGTCTGTCTAGCCGATTAAGGACAAAAAAATAAAATAAAATGAAACTAGAAAGAGAAAAGAAGTGAAGAAGATGAAGGAATTAATGCTAAAATTAACAAGGGAAATGGGGTTAGACGTTTTGGATGGATGAGTTTTTTTTTTTTTTTTGGTAGAAATGGATGGATGAGTTTGGTTTTAAAAAAAAGGCAAGTTTTGTGGACAACCCGCCACGTTACGTGGTAGTTTTTTTTTTTTTTGGGTTTTTTGTGCGGTACCCGGGTTTCGCCTCGATTAATCAGGATCTACGCACTTAGAAATTGTGGGTGAGTTTCCCAACGAAATTACTGCATGCACAAGTTCTCGAACTCAAAATCTTATTTAAGCTGGAATAAGTCACTTACCACTTGATCCAACCAGGTAAATGATAGTTAATACTACTGCTAATGTCTTTTCTCTCTGACACTGGCTGGATCTAGGCGCTTTTTGTGCTTCTCTAACTTGTTCCACTTATAACCTTATTAAGTAAAAATTATTGTTAAATAATTATAGATGAGATTAAAATTGTGATATAAATTATATTATAAATATATTTTTTAATAATTTTTTAATTTAAACTTTTGCTAACCGTACCTGAGGCTCAATTGGTTGGCCCTCAAGCTTTAGGGCTTGAGTGAGGCGGAGGACAGAGCTTCAAACTTTGTCACCAACTTGCGACCTAATAGTCGCGCGCCTCAAATGAGGGGTGGAACGATCACTTTCCTAAAAAAATTTCAGCTGCTAACAAACTAACTCTACTAATTTACTAACCATTTACCTGGTAAAAAAAAAAAAAAAAATTTAAACTTATAATATTATATCTAAGATTCCATTCCATTACATTTTCTGTACTAAGATTGCACTAGGATTCGAGAAGAAAACACAGAAGCGAAACTCGTACCTAAGATGTTGGGGGGGGTTTCCACGCACGTACCCGTACCCCTATCTTCTTCTCCTTCTTCTTCCTTTGAATAAAACCCACAAAACTTTCCCTTGTCTCTGTGTCAGCCCTCTCCTCTCCAAGAAAATGCAAATCTCAAAATTCCCCCCTTCAGCCTCTATTTGCAACAGGCCAACAAAAACCCTAGAAAACTAACCACCTTCTCTCACCATAACCCTCGATCTTCCCTCTTTTTCCCTCAGCCCTTGAGACCAGAAATGACCAAGCCCCCCCTTTTTTTTTACCCGTTTGCTGCTGTTTTTCTGACAACCATGCCTGCCTTCTTCATGAAAAAGCAAAGGACAGGCTTGTCTTCATTCGGTGGCGTCTGAAGGGTGGGGCCATCGGAGCAAGAACGGCGACAGGTGTGAGGAACCGACGGGAGGTGGAGGCAGAGTCGGGGGACCCAATCCCGTTCTACGTTTTGCTATCCCTTTTATTGTTTTTTTGGGGGTGGTGAGTGTTAGGATTTTTAAAATGAAGGGGCTTGGGTTTTTAATGAAGAATGTGCCTAGTTTGGTGGGCTGATTTGAGGAATTGGGCTGGTGTTAGGTTTTGGGGTTAAAGCCCAAATCTATCAAATCTTGAGCATTTGTTTGGTCCTTGTCTTTTTCTGCCTTTGTAATTTAACCCTTGATTTGCTAATTTCTTCAGGTTTCGCAGCTTTTGCCTCAACTTACAGCTCAAACTTAATCCTTTTTCACGATCAAGCCCTAAGAAAAATGAAAATAAATCACATTAAGATAATTTTAAGGCAAAATATGATTTTTCTTAATTTATTCACTATATAATTTAAACATATATCTCTTTGAGGAAGTGAAAAATTACAATGCTCTTGACAT